TGAGGGACTGAGGCAGGGTACAAGAGGGGGAGTAATGCGCTGTTTGTGTGCCTGTGTGTTCATGTTAGCTTATGTGTGTCTGTGCATGTGTAGCTGCTGGCGTATAAAGTAACTCTCCAGAGGCGTGTGCAGGGAATCGTTCTTTGAGGACAGATATCATTCTGTTTTGTGTGCAGTAGTTAGATAGTTAGCTACAGTAGACTGCATGAACAGTTGTGTAGAATGACGTCTCGTGTTGTAACTGTAGAGTAGCAGCTGCTCCGTGTAGCTTCGTATGGCTTAGTGTGTGTTTGGCCTCGACGTTTAGAAACAGGGTTTTAACCAGGAAGCAATACACAATGCTCATTTTTCTCAGCTGTTAGAGCGTAAACCTGAATTGTGTTCATGTGATGCATGAGAAAACAAGAGCAGTTATTTCACAAGTAATTTAACTTCAAATGTTCAAGGAATTTCTCAAAAACAAGCAATGAGCTAAATTAAAGTGAGAAGAAAACCAGTTTTTCATTCCGAAATTCTGATTGGTTCATGGGAATTCAGGACATGGTCTCCTTTTTCACCAGTGGCACAACAAAAGTGCTTAAAATGCTGTACAATACAATTAGAGCAAATTTATTTGGTGGCCGTTCAAACATCATGGCTTGAGCATTTCTCTCAATGAAACATATAGCTTCAGAATCTGTGGGATGTTGTTTTCAAAGTAAGAGCTGCTTAAGGGGAAATATGAGCAGCTGATACTGACATCCTCTTGTTATCGTGTAGTTGCTTTTTAGTCTTTGTGAAACTGGTTTGCATGCCATCAGGAGAAACCCTCACCGTGTGGACTTTAGTGTGTTAGTTCTGTGATAACAAAAATGATGATTCAAAGAGGCAGTCAGTCTGCAAAGAGAGCAGAATTAACGTTTTTTTTAAATGTTTATCATGGATCCGCTTTTTGTGTAGTTATATGTACAGCTTGAATTCTGGGATGTGTAGTTGTTTTTTAGGGTCGTTTTTCGTTCACACTAACAAGTCTGTACCCTGGCTGTTCGGGAGCTCCCGCCCATCAACTGTCTCAGCCAATCAGAGGATTCCCTATTCCTCTCAGTCAGTGTGATGCCACCTTTCACTGCTTGTCTGCCCAGCCTTGGTGTGTGTGTCTGTATGCACTGTATGTGTGTGTTTATATAAATATATGTGTGTGCGTTAATATAGAACCGGGTCAGCCAGCATAGTGTGTGTGTGTTTGTGTCTGGAGCAGGTTTGTGTGTTTTTACTTTGAGGCCAATGGAAACTGATGACTGCATGTTGCCTTATCAAGCAATCTGACATTCACACTCACAGATTACACGCAACATCACAGTACCAACACATACACAGCACACTTTAAACAACACGCAATCACAAATCCCAACTCGCATACACAAACACAAATCACACACCATGTTTAAGTTGGCATCAAAGCAGACTCGCTGATTTTATAAACAGTACCAGTGAAATTAAAAAGGTTTTGTTGAAATCCAGCAACTGTGTCAAGAATTTATTTGAAGAGGTGGAAGATTGGGTGTTTTGATTTTGATCAGATTATACCACTAAAGGGCCACAGAGAATAATTGAGCCGTGGACCCCCCTGCTGAGTTTACTGGTTTGTTGTTTGATTTCATACCAAGAATTAAAAAATGAAAATCAATATGACTGTCATGTCTTTGTGTGATGTGCAGATGGAGTTGAGACCCAGTTAGCTTAGCATAGCATAAACGCCAGAAGCAAAAGAATAACAATATTAAAACAGCTGTAACTAAATTACGCCACTCAGAAGCTTTAAAAGCCACAGATCTGGCCAAAATGATAAACACCATTATTTTCATTGATATTGTGTTACATTTATTTAACACTATTATTCATTGGTGAAGGTGACATATTTTATTGCACTTTAAATAAAGAGAGCACTGCTTTTACTTCTATCCTGCTAATGTAAAAAATGAGGTCTGCACCATATTAGAAAAAAAGGGACAATGCAATATTACTTTCTACATATTTAGTTACTTTTTACGATATACATATTTATCATATCTATGATATTTCACTTATTTAACATATTGATAATTGACATCTGTATATTATGTTAACAGTTTCCTAATTATATTGTTGTTATTTTAATTGATGCTGTTACTAACATTTTTGAAGTCAACGTCTGGCTAGAAGTGAATTCAAATGATAATGTTCGACGTACTATCCAATGAAATTGTCAGCGTTCTATGTTATGACTTTTTTCATATTTTCTACAGACTGTACACTGTCCTTTTTCTTGACTTTTTCGACATAATATACTATGACATGATAAACATGATAAAATATTACTTATATTCATCAAACTATACTATATTTTGACATATTTCATAATTTCAAACAAACTATACTATGACCTTTTTCATATTATAATTAAAATACTATACTATGACTTTGTTGGACATATACTGATGATTGATGAAGATTTCTTTCATATTTTGGGACATTATATACTATGATGATGTCAAAGGCAAGGCAAGGCAAGTTTATTTATAAAACCTTTCAACACAAGGCAATTCAAAGTGCTTTGTAAAAAGGAAAGACATTAGGAGCATTAAGAAACATAATTTAAAAATGGCATTTAAAAACACTCATTTAAAAGCAAAGATAATAAAAAAACATGAATAACAAAGGTACATGAATAACAGTTACAGTGCAGTGTAAGATATGAATATATCAATTAAAAGCAGCAGAAAAAAGAAAAGTCTTTAGCCTGGATTTTTACATTACATTACATTTCATTTAGCTGACGCTTTTATCCAAAGCGACTTACAATTACAGGGACATTCTCCCTGGAGTAACTAAGCCCGCACACTAGTGGTGGTGTTCCTGGCGGGATTTGAACTCACAACCTTCCGATCTTCAGCCCACCTTACTATCCATTAGACCACCACTACCCCTATTAAAGGGTTTAAAAGTAGTAAGAGTTGTAGCGGACCTGCAAGCTTCTGGGAGTTTGTTCCAGATATTTGGAGCATAATAACTGAAAGCTGCTTCTCCATGTTTAGTTCTGACTCTGGGGACAGAAAGCTGAAGACCTGAGAGTTCTGGATGGTTCATGTAAAAGGAATCTCTTTTCTAACAAAGAAATCTAAAAAAATAAAGCAGTGCTTAAACATAAATGAGCACAGACATCGCTTGATGGTTCTGCTCTTACTTATCAGGGTGCACTTCATCCATCTATGTATTTACCTGAGTTGTAGAAAAAGAAAGCACAGCTGCTACTAATATCAATAAATCCCCAGATCTGTTTCAACTAGTTGATGATTTCATATATAAAACATCCCAGAGCCCAAGGCGATGTGTTGAAATTGATAATTGTCTCAGCCACAAAGTTGTAAACCCTTAGACATTCAGTTAACAATAAAATAGCACAGAACAACTCAACAAACATTCACATAGGAGAAGCTGAAACCAGGGAATATCTGGCACTTCCTCTTGAGACATGACTAAACTTTGTAGCCCGTATAGAAGGAGCTCCGTTGTGGCCTTTTACTGAATTGTATGATCTTTTTAAACTTATCGGCCAACACACAGTGATTCCGAAATATCTGCAAAGATCAATTTATCAGTCCAGAACTACTTAAATAATACATTTATTATGAAGATTTTTAATTCTTTCAGCACAAAAAATAACAACAGGGAGATGTAAAAGAATTGTCAATGCATTACTGTTTTTAACCCCGTCTCAAAATGTTATGTATCCATAAAAGCTTACCTACTTATTAGAAAAATGCTCCATGAAATATTTGTTCCATTTGTGACAATTAACCCTGATGGCCCTCCTTCTGTTCCTGTTTTGTTGTCAAACCTTGTCAGATGTTAGATGGCTTTTACATCTAAATTGTGTGTTTTTCCTGCATGTCTCACCGATAGTTTTCAGTTTTTATGAGTGGTGCTTTTTTGTTATAATGCTTTGGTTATGCTTCTGTGTTTTGTGTTTTTCTGTGTCGCTGTTATTCTCAACATTTGTTGTTTGTCTTGTCTTTGTTTCATCTGTGTTTCCCTCATAGGAGGAGCCTGTATACGAGGTGCATATTGGACAGAGCAGTGTGGGGTCATAGGTCATGCCTTGGTCTGGGGGGAAAGAGATTCATATGGGGTTACTCTGCATGCTACATGCACCAAGTTATCCGTTTGTTATGTGCACCTTTACAGTCTAATCCAATAAACCTGCAATACATCTGACCTTTCCTGCAGAATCCTCATGTTTTATTGCAGGACTGTTGTTTTAGAAAACATGAAATGGTGTGCACTATGAACAGGTGAAATGGTGTGTATTAGCTAATAGCCCAAGTGAGACTAAGTGAGTGTCAAGAGGAACAGAAGATGCAATGATGCTTCCCAAATATGAATTGAAAGATTCCTGCAGTATTTGGGGCTTTGGATAAATGATCCATTGACTGTCAAATATAATCAAATCACCTGATGTCTTTGTGAGCAATATTATTTCGTACTGCAAAGGTTTTCCTCTGACCTCTCAGATGCTCACTTATTTGTGTAGTATAGGCAACATTATTACTAAAACTGTCCATTTCTAACCATGTAGCTCCCCTGTGCAGCGTTAAGTGACATATTTAGAGCTCTCAGCCACATCTCCAGCACGTCAGATAAGCCAATATAGTCGTGGCATGCACCAAAATGGCTTCATGCACTGCTCAGGCTGAACAAGGCCTGTGCTCCTGGAGTCACCTTTACCTGCTGTATAACTTGAATGAATCCACTAACTGAACTCCCTGGAAAGTCTTGCGCATGATAATAAGAGTTGAGTCAAGCCTAAAGCATGGTCTTTCTGCTCTCAACTGCTTTGTTACATCAGAGCTGGAGGAAAGTGAAAGCTAGACTGCCATTGGTGCTTGAGACCCTCCACCCTGCCAACACCTCATTCTTTCATGCTCACCACTCCACCTCTTTTTTCTGTCTAACTTGTTCTCGCTTTTCTCCTTGTTGTCTTGCAGGGAGAATATGGGGGAAGGGAGCAGGGTGGGGAAGGAGGAGAGGTAAGAAAACAAGTTTGGTTGCTGCTGGGATTAAAGCAGATCATTTATAAAAACAGCTCAGTCAACTCAGATTATGTGTGAGACTTTTGACCAAGTGCAGCAAGAATATAAATACCTCTCAGATGATAAATGTAACTTAATATGTTTACTCTCCTTATTCAGGTATTTCAATGTTGTAAATTACTTCCTTTAATGTATCTAATGGCTGATACTCAATTTAGTACATGGACAATAATGATGAGGCTTTTCAATGCAATGTATTGCTTCATGGTAAAAGGATGAGAGGGTTAGCTTCATTAGTTTAGACCCAAAAGAGTAATCCACTGATTTAGCATCGCAGGACATTGTCAGACTTATAATAGATAATTGACAAAAGTCTCATATCATGACAATTATGATTTCACCTAGTCAAATATTTTAATAATATTAGTAAGCCATTCATGTCTGGACAGAAAGCACTGACTGTGTCTTTATAACTATGAAGGTGATCATTGTTTTAAAGGGCTATAGTGCTTTCAGGAGGGCTCTTCATATTCAAATGAATATTTGTTATCGTTTTTGAGTTTTAGAAGTGCAGCTTTTAATGGAAAAACTAAAATAAAGATTATTGAATTAACTTAACGAAATAATACTTAAGAGGAAATTAAGATAAACTCAATGCTTTAAAAAACATGTACAGCTATCAGATAGATGTTAAAGAGTTCAATAGCAGAACTCTCACCACACCACAATACTACTTCCCCCATTAATATGATCTTCCTTCCTTTCTTACAGGGGTACTAGTCGCCATCCGGACCTCCCTCCCATGCTCTCCAGCGGCCCCTCGCTCCCCTCGCCTCACTGTACCAGACTCCAGATGTTCGACATATTTTTTTGTGACTTTACAGAACCAAAATCAACTAAAACAGACTCTTCCGGATGCCGCATCTCAGCCCCTACACTATCTCCCCCTCTGCCTCGTCACTCCGTGATGCCTCCCCCCAGCAGTGCTCTGCCACCTCACCCCGTCTCCTCCCCTCTGATTTTCCCTCCACTGCCTGTCTTACCCTCGCCTCACCTGTGTGTTACTGTCGTCCTGATATGAAGCTTGGTGTTACAGCTCCCACGCATACCAACCAATAGAGTAACCTCACCCACAAACACACACAAACAAGAGACACACCTTTATTGTACACATGCATGAAACACACACATACAGTACATACCGCAGATGCCAGCGCAGACACACACACACACTGGGCAAACAGGTGTAAACTGTAGGACATTGTCTGGTGTGTAGATACAGTTTAACCTCTGCAGTCCACAACAATAACAATAACTCACTGAGGGACTGAGGCAGGGTACAAGAGGGGGAGTAATGCGCTGTTTGTGTGCCTGTGTGTTCATGTTAGCTTATATGTGTGTGTGCATGTGTAGCTGCTGGTGTATAAAGTAACTCTCCAGAGGCGTGTGCAGGGAATCGTTCTTTGAGGACAGATATCATTCTGTTTTGTGTGCAGTAGTTAGATAGTTAGCTACAGTAGACTGCATGAACAGTTGTGTAGAATGACGTCTCGTGTTGTAACTGTAGAGTAGCAGCTGCTCCGTGTAGCTTCGTATGGCTTAGTGTGTGTTTGGCCTCGACGTTTAGAAACAGGGTTTTAACCAGGAAGCAATACACAATGCTCATTTTTCTCAGCTGTTAGAGCGTAAACCTGAATTGTGTTCATGTGATGCATGAGAAAACAAGAGCAGTTATTTCACAAGTAATTTAACTTCAAATGTTCAAGGAATTTCTCAAAAACAAGCAATGAGCTAAATTAAAGTGAGAAGAAAACCAGTTTTTCATACCGAAATTCTGATTGGTTCATGGGAATTCAGGACATGGTCTCCTTTTTCACCAGTGGCACAACAAAAGTGCTTAAAATGCTGTACAATACAATTAGAGCAAATTCATTTGGTGGCCGTTCAAACATCATGGCTTGAGCATTTCTCTCAATGAAACATATAGCTTCAGAATCTGTGGGATGTTGTTTTCAAAGTAAGAGCTGCTTAAGGGGAAATATGAGCAGCTGATACTGACATCCTCTTGTTATCGTGTAGTTGCTTTTTAGTCTTTGTGAAACTGGTTTGCATGCCATCAGGAGAAACCCTCACCGTGTGGACTTTAGTGTGTTAGTTCTGTGATAACAAAAATGATGATTCAAAGAGGCAGTCAGTCTGCAAAGAGAGCAGAATTAACGTTTTTTTTAAATGTTTATCATGGATCCGCTTTTGTGTAGTTATATGTACAGCTTGAATTCTGGGATGTGTAGTTGTTTTTTAGGGTCGTTTTTATTTCACACTAACAAGTCTGTACCCTGGCTGTTCGGGAGCTCCCGCCCATCAACTGTCTCAGCCAATCAGAGGATTCCCTATTCCTCTCAGTCAGTGTGATGCCACCTTTCACTGCTTGTCTGCCCAGCCTTGGTGTGTATGTCTGTATGCACTGTATGTGTGTGTTTATATAAATATATGTGTGTGCGTTAATATAGAACCGGGTCAGCCAGCATAGTGTGTGTGTGTTTGTGTCTGGAGCAGGTTTGTGTGTTTTTACTTTGAGGCCAATGGAAACTGATGACTGCATGTTGCCTTATTAAGCAATCTGACATTCACACTCACAGATTACACGCAACATCACAGTACCAACACATACACAGCACACTTTAAACAACACGCAATCACAAATCCCAACTCGCATACACAAACACAAATCACACACCATGTTTAAGTTGGCATCAAAGCAGACTCGCTGATTTTATAAACAGTACCAGTGAAATTAAAAAGGTTTTGTTGAAATCCAGCAACTGTGTCAAGAATTTATTTGAAGAGGTGGAAGATTGGGTGTTTTGATTTTGATCAGATTATACCACTAAAGGGCCACAGAGAATAATTGAGCCATGGACCCCCATGCTGAGTTTACTGGTTTGTTGTTTGATTTCATACCAAGAATTAAAAAATGAAAATCAATATGACTGTCATGTCTTTGTGTGATGTGCAGATGGAGTTGAGACCCAGTTAGCTTAGCATAGCATAAACGCCAGAAGCAAAAGAATAACAATATTAAAACAGCTGTAACTAAATTACGCCACTCAGAAGCTTTAAAAGCCACAGATCTGGCCAAAATGATAAACACCATTATTTTCATTGATATTGTGTTACATTTATTTAACACTATTATTCATTGGTGAAGGTGACATATTTTATTGCACTTTAAATAAAGAGAGCACTGCTTTTACTTCTATCCTGCTAATGTAAAAAATGAGGTCTGCACCATATTAGAAAAAAAGGGACAATGCAATATTACTTTCTACATTTTTAGTTACTTTTTACGATATAAATATTTATCATATCTATGATATTTCACTTATTTAACATATTGATAATTGACATCTGTATATTATGTTAACAGTTTCCTAATTATATTGTTGTTATTTTAATTGATGCTGTTACTAACATTTTTGAAGTCAACGTCTGGCTAGAAGTGAATTCAAATGATAATGTTCGACGTACTATACAATGAAATTGTCAGCGTTCTATGTTATGACTTTTTTCATATTTTCTACAGACTGTACACTGTCCTTTTTCTTGACTTTTTTGACATAATATACTATGACATGATAAACATGATAAAATATTACTTATATTCATCAAACTATACTATATTTTGACATATTTCATAATTTCAAACAAACTATACTATGACCTTTTTCATATTATAATTAAAATACTATACTATGACTTTGTTGGACATATACTGATGATTGATGAAGATTTCTTTCATATTTTGGGACATTATATACTATGATGATGTCAAAGGCAAGGCAAGGCAAGTTTATTTATAAAACCTTTCAACACAAGGCAATTCAAAGTGCTTTGTAAAAAGGAAAGACATTAGGAGCATTAAGAAACATAATTTAAAAATGGCATTTAAAAACACTCATTTAAAAGCAAAGATAATAAAAGAACATGAATAACAAAGGTACATGAATAAAAGTTACAGTGCAGTTTAAGATGTGAATAGTTCAATTAAAAGCAGCGGAAAAAATAAAAGTCTTCAGCCTGGATTTAAAAGTAGTAAGAGTTGCAGCGGACCGGCAGGTTTCTGGGAGTTTGTTCCAGATATTTGGAGCATAATAACTGAACGCTGCTTCTCCATGTTTAGTTCTGACTCTGGCGACAGAAAGCCAGAAGACCAGAAGATGGTTCATAATTTAGCAGTAGATCAGAAATGTATTTTGGGCCTAAACCATTCAATGCTTTATAAACCAGCAGCAGTATTTTGAAATCAATTATTTGACACACAGGAAGCCAGTGTAAAGATTTCAGAACAGGTGTGATGTGATCCACTTTCTTAGTGTTAGTGAGGACTCGAGCAGCAGCGTTCTGAATTAGCTGCAACTTTCTAATAGATTTTTTAGTGAGACCTGTAAAGACACCATTACAGTAGTCGAGTCTACTGAAGATAAAAGCAAGTTTTTCCAAATCCTGCTGTGACATTATTCTTTTAGTCCTCGATATATTCTTAAGGGGATAGTAGGCTGACTTAGTAACTGTTTTAATGTGACTTTTGAAACTCAGGTCAGGGTCCATGACTACACCTACATTTTTATATTTGCATACTAACATCATTCCTTGTTAAAGTATTTGACATACAATATTATGACCTCTTTTCAAAAGACAATACTGTGTTGTCTTTTCTCATATTCTTGACCTACTTTACTATGTTGTTTTTTCTTTTTGCAGGATCTTTTCAGTCACACACCCCTGTAATGCCTTCTCCAATCCACCGGCTTATGGCAGTATAGTATGGGAAATAAATTGATGCAACACGATGTCTTTGTCTGAACATTTTATTGGTTTCCAAAAAAATGAATAAAACAAAAGTCATTTCCTCCAAAATAATTTCATTGTCAAGGACCTGGACAGCTACAACTGAGGAGAATTCAACCAGGGGATGGGCGCTCCCAGCAACACCTCGCCCTCCCTGCTCCCCTGTCTAGGCTAGCGGAGGAGTCGGGAAGAAGTGTCTTTTAATATGAGACAAAGCGACGGGAGAACAGGAAAAAAGGCGAGATGAGCATCTGTCAAATCTCGAACAGTAAAAACACCAACTATGAAATCACAAAAAATCTTGTTGGGAATCTTAATCTTGGCAACTTGACTACTAATCTTTACACCTGAAGAGTGAGACAACAAACCTCGAGTAATACAATTATTATTTTTATTTTATTCATATTAAAGTGGACCTATCATAATATATTTGAATAATATATTTTAGGGCCATACCTATATAAAACATGTCTGCGAAGTCTTTTTTTCAAAATACCAAACAGATCATGCATTTTAGCCATGCCTCATTTCGCTCTATTTGCTGTATTCCAGCACTGTTTTTGCAAGGGCTGATTCTGTGGCAAATGAGCTGCAGCTGACCACGCCGCCCTGCAAAGGAGGGGGGCGAGGCACGAGCGTCATGTTACCATGCTGTTACCATGCTGTTACCATGCCACGCAACCTCTCATTCCCCTGATAGGTGGAGCGTTGCCCATGTAGGCGGAGCGTCACCGCCCACTATTCCGGGCTGACGTCGTGTCGGATGGAATCTGTGTCCGCTCGTTGTAGCCCCGTTTTTAAAAGATTTGGGTACGGAGGAAAAGAGAGAGGGTTGTATTTTCTGACACTTGGTGAGTTCCCTGACACACCGGGGACACATATTCATGTATAAAAGACGTACAAAAGTGCATTTGCATGATAGGTCCACTTTAAGTTAAATGTATATCCCTTATAAGTTAACTTTAAGGGGCCGAACTCTCTGAAATAAGGCATCTGTAGTGCTGTCATCTGAGGGTCACACCTACACTCAGCGATCACAAAATACAACAATATCATGAACGTTTATATATGAGGGCAGAAGGAGGATCAGCATTTCACTTTCTCTCTCTCTCTGATTTTTCTTAATATAAACTCAGGCAAAAAAACAGAACAGGGCAATGTTTGAACAGAGATGCAGATACAGTATAATGGCAGCACAAAGATCACAAGGTATATAGCAGGCTAGCCAGTGTCTCGTGGTGTGTGTGTCCGCGTGTGTGTAGAAGAGCCAGAAAGCAGCGGTAAACAGTGATGTGTTCTGAGGGCTGTTTAGAGGGTGGAAGAAGGCAGGAGAGGGCATCAATAGCAGGAGGGTAAGGGCAGGGAGAGGAATTGAGGGTCGGAATTGGCCATTTATGTGAAGTATTATAAAGCT